AAAAAAAAAAAAAAAAAAAAAAAAAAAAAAAAAAAAAAAAAGAAATGGAGAGAGTGTTCCTCATCCTTTTAAGAATAATCACAAGTCATCCCTGCAGAAGTTTTTTTGACTGCAAGATTCTTCCAAAATTTTGATGGATATTCCAGGAATTGGGGTTGTCAGGGTGGCATATGCAAATTTAGAAGAAAAACAATAACATCTTTTGGGAAGATTCCACCGAATGAAAATTTATTTTACTTAATAAAATTAAGTATTAGTTAAATGACACAGGGAGACCAATGAACTGTGAATATTATTTTTGTTTTTAGCTATCTGGACCTTCTTCATAGAATTCTCATATAGGACTTTTTCTTCTCAGCTGTGTTTTCTTTCTTTTTTATTAGTATATATACTATTTATAATTACTGAAGGAATTTAGAAAATATAGTTGAGAAAAAGTCTAAAAGAGCATTACCTTGTCATGACATCTGCTAAACATTTACATGCACATATATAAAGTCTGTTTCTATACACAGACTTCTAGACACAGCTGCTTACTTGTATAACTCTGAATTAGTTACACCCTTATCTGAATGTAAGACTTTTCATCAGTAGAGTATGGATAATATCCACAATCCTGCCTATGTCTCTGGATTGTTGTGGGGAGCTCTCATAAGAGTGTGTGCTCACAAGGACAGGAACATTATAATCATCTTTAACTTCTGAGGATTTAGCACAGTGCCTGACACACTGGAGGCCCTAAAGAATTTGTTGTGGTTGTTATTGAGCCGATTCCAATCTTAATTCACTGAACTGTACTGGCTGTTTGGATGATAACCAATGACTCCCTTGCTACATTGAAAGAAATTTCTCAGTTCTCATCCTTTCGGTCTTTTACCCTTGATTTTTGTGATTTTCCTTTCGCCTCTCTCCTTCTTTGCTAACTCTTCTCATTTTATTATTTGTGGTTGTCCTCGAATTTCTTTTGTAACCCTTTGCTTTTCTGTATATTTCCTGATGGATTCATCTACTTCAGTGTTATCAACTATGACCTCTACACTGGCAACTCTCATATATTTATCTGCAGCAAGATTAATCTTCTAGCCTCCAATATCTTTGGGGTTTAACCGTTTTTAATTTTTATATCAGGCAGAATCACAAAAGAAAAAAGATAGCACATTCAAGGTCGATAAATTAGGATAATTTAGTAGGAGGAGTATTTAAAAACCTGTAGACAGAGTTTAGGAGAATCAATAAGTGATGGTGCTGTTAAAGAGAAAATAAAGACAAAGACAGCAAGGATTGAGTGGTGAGAGGAAAAGTATTACGACAGGGACTAGATCCACCACACGACTAGGCTCTGTGGGGTGAGGGTAAGGGAGGGGAAAAATAGTATCTCTTTTTAAACCAAAAGACCTATTGGTATTAGGAGAGTTAAAGTTCTGAGTGTTGCTGATTAGCTAGCAGTGTCTGAGCTTACCAGTTAGGTTAGTGATAGGTGGCTGGAGGTAGCTTATGCTATAGCATGAGAAGCCCATGTAGGGATTAGTTTCCATGTACCTTGGCTTCCTATAGGCACCTGCCTTGGGATTACAGTGGCCAGTGTCTCTGCTGTTTATGTGAAGAAGTGCCCAATTCAGGATCCTCTTGTCTAGTCAGGTCCGTGCTAGCATCTGCAGGTTACGGGGCCAGACCAGGGTTTCTTAGTACTCTGGTGCTACCAACAGCCAGGAGTGATTCCTACTCCCAGGCTTAAAGAGACAGTGACTACAGGAACCCAAAGAGGGTAGCGAGCGGTATGATAAGAGCTGAGGCCTTAGATTGAGACACAGTCTGTCGTAAAACAGCAGGCAGGGGGCTTTTCTCCATCCTCCAATCTCCAACAGGAAACTCCAAGAAGGGATCCTATTGATGCAGTCCTTGTATGTCAGCTTCCTAGGGCTGAGAGCAGGGTGAAGAAAGGCGGAGAGTAAATCTGGAGGGACACGAGAAAAATAAATATCAAAATGCCCCATCAGATCTAACTCTTATCGTTTGCGTCTGTCACTAGTCTGCGAGCTTCATAAAAGAGAGATGGTACCTTCATCTTTTGGGGCGTAACTTATAAAGACAAGTGCACATATGTAATGAGATACGTAAATAAATGTTTCTAAAGTCTATTTTGTCTTGTGACCCGAATACAGGACAGGAAAATCCTCAAAGTAGTTCCCAAGGGAGTCTTCTGACATTAGGCAGCAGCCATAAACCCCAGACAGAAACGGATTCCCTTTTCTCTGACCCACCTCAGAAAACTCCATGGTCTAAGGTCTGGGAAACCGGAGGAACACAGGAACTGTGACTCGCAACCTGCGCCTACGCTGCTCAAGGTAGCCTGAGGCTTCTCAGTGGAGGGTGGGGCCACGCTTCGCGTTTTAGGATTGGGCAATGGGGGCCGGAACGGACGGCGCGGAAATGACGTCAGGGTGCGCAAGCGCCGGCGGCCCTACCGCGCAGGGGCTTCTGGGTTCCGTCCGCCTTCCTTTCCATCGCCTCTCCCTTCCTCCTCTCGTCTCCGCCTCCTCGGCCGCTCTGCTCCTTGGCGTGACTCGGCACTGAGAGCCCCGGGAGAAGACGCGGCGGTCTCCACCTCTACTGTCCAGGCCTCGGCCTGTTCCCTTCCTCTCCCGGGTCTTCTTTTCCTTCAGTTTCGAAGCCGGTGGCGTCGCGGCCGCCCTGCTGGGCTCTCTGTGAAGATGGTAGGAGTGAAGCCGGTCGGAAGCGACCCGGATTTCCAGCCGGAGCTGAGCGGCGCAGGCTCCAGACTCACCGTGGTCAAGTTCACCATGAGAGGGTGAGGCGGGGTCCGAGCCCTGTGGGCCCCCGTGAGAGCGTCCCTGCTTTCCTTTCACTCTTTCACGTCCCAGCTCTTTCGCCTTCTCCTTCTGCTCCGGAATGTCCGGCGATGGCCGCTGCCAGGGTTAGGCCTCAGCTCTGGTGGGAGCCCACCTTTATGCACGGGGGGGGGGAGGGGGGGGCTCCCTGGCGGGCACGGAGGCCCGGACGGCCGCCTTCCCCAGCTCAGAAGATATCCACCCGCCCCTTTTGAACCCTCAGACGACTTCCAGCCTGTGGGCATCTCCTGCTTGCGCCAGTCCCCTTCTTCCAGGGGAGCCAGCTGTCACATGCGTTTCAGGAACTCTAAAAGTTTAACTACCTGCATTTCTGTCAAGCCTTTGGAAGATTCATATGAGGATATCCAGCTAATCTGCGCAGTGCTTAATCCTAAGGCTCGGCTAATGCATTTTGAATTAAGTTTCCGTTGGGTTAGGATGCTTTTTAATTTCCTTAACGTTTCTATTCCAAGTTTGGTTAGTAACTTTCTGGCTTAGGCTCTCCTATGTATGCGGTGCATCTAATCACGCAAATTACAGTACGTATGTATTACAGGTAAACAGGTGGCCAGACATCTGTGTTTGACCAGATTCCGTTTTTGACTTGATTTAAGAGAACAGGAATCTTGAAAGATGTTAACTGTCATTGGTAAAACCCAACAAAATCTGTAGGTCGCAGAGCTGGCGGACCTTTTATATTGGGTGTGTAATTATGTCCCGGTGTGAGAATGACATGTTGGAACTCGGCATTGAGAACCAGGATTTCAGTGAGTGTATTTACAGATCTCCATTTGTGCACGTTAGTACCTAGTTAGAAGGATTAGAGGTCTCCACTCGATTTACCTTGACCCTCCCTGGCGTTACTTACACATATACTAACTTGGAGCAGTCTAACCATCTGAGCTAACCGGCCAGCCCGGTGAATTGCTTGTATCACTGTTTATGTAACATGCTTTCTTGTCCAAGTAACCATATAAACACAAGGCAGTATTTCAAATCTTAGAGCAAAATCTGTAGTTCCTGACACGTGGTTCAGAAAATATTGAGTATATAAGTGATGACATTAAGATTAGTTTTAGGGGATGGAGGGATGCAAAAAGAGATGAAAACAAGTTAGGGCTTATTTTTGGACCAGTTTCTCTTACACAGAGTTGAAAAGGGGCATTACATTGGATTTAGTAGGGTGAAATAGAGTACACATGTGCTATGTGGACTTTCACATTTACTAAATTAAAGAGGGTAGGTGATTTCAAATATATTAAGACATCTAAAAGGAATGTCAGAATTCTATAAATGTCTTTTCTCAGCTGTAGCAATTTTGTAATCTCTCTCTCTCTCTCTCTCTCTCTCTCTCTCTCTCTCTCGGTGGCAGGCACAGGGAACCAGACCTTTGACCCTGGTGTTTACAAGGCCGTGCTCTAACCAACTGAGCTAACTGGCCAGCCCTATCTCTGTTCTTAATAGTAAGGGAATACCTGTACATTTGTTGAGTATCTAGGCCATGGTGGAAAAGGAAGAGATGATTTCAACAAGAATCTCACTTTTATTTCATTTTTCTAATTCTGGTCAGTTTGAGCATTTAAACTTTCATCCTTCAGTACATTCTTTTTTCCTCCCCTTACCTTAGCAGAGGGAGAGATGATAGAGTAATAAGTAATAAATAATTTATTGGTTGAAGCGAGAAAAATGGGGAAGCATTGCTACAAAGGAAACTTTTTCATTAGCAGTGTGATGTCATTTAAATGTAAGCATAAATACAGATATTGATTGGTAAAGAACTGTGTTATTATTTACATTTAAAACAGTATTTTAATGGAGTGAAAATTATATTTTCTTTTTAAAAACTGAGGGCAAATAAATGTTTGAATTTAGAAAACTTTTAAGTTCTAACCAACTGAGCTTACTGGCCACCATGAGAACTTTTAAGTTCAAAAGCATATTTAGGTTACATTTATAAATCTGATAAGATTGTATTTGCCTTTAAAGTTCCTTTAACGTGTTGTGTTTCTGTACAAACTCATTGTCAGTGCAACCCCAGATTTTAGAGGTCAGTATTAGATCTCCATACAACAATATCCAGTAAAATTCTGTAAGAAACCTCTTAGATTAATGTTAATGTCATCCCACTTCAGGCTAAGGGCATCGTTTTCTCCAGTAGCTATTTCTTTATTTCCTTTCCAAACCTATTTCAAACCTTATTCCTATTCTCAACTTCCATGCTTTATCCAGCCTCAGTCTAAACTAATTTTACTAAAACAAGTAATTACTGTTCTCCTGTTCAAGAATCTTTGGAAGCTCTCCAGCATTTTTATTTAGGTTTTTTAATGGAGAAATATATATAACATGAAATTGACCATTTTAACCACTTTTAAGCGTACAATTCAGTAATTAAGTACATTCACAGTGTTATGCAACCATCACCACTGTTTCCTAGAGCTTATCCCAGACAGAAGAAACTCTGTACTCATTAAAACAATAACTCCCCATTTCCACTTCTCCAGACACTTCTTTGTACCCGTTAAGCAGTAACTACTGCTCTCTCCACCTATCTCCCTGTTAACCTTCATTCTACTTTTCTTCTGTGTGAATTTGCTTTAGACACCTCATATAAGTAAATTTAACAATATTTGTCCTTTTGTTTCAGATTTATTTCATTTAGCATAATGTTTTCAAGGTTCATCCATGTTGTAGCATGTGTCAGAATTTCATTCCTTTTTATGGCTGCATAAGATATTCCACTGTATGTGTATATCACATTTTGTTCCTTTATTCACTTGTCGATGGACACACAGGTTGTTTTTACCTTTGGCTATTGTGAATAATGCTACTGTGGACATTGGTATACAGAGATCTCTTTGAATCTCTGCTTTTCAGTTCTTCTGGGTGTATACACAGGAATAGAATTGCTGGATCATATGGTAATTCTGGGTTTAACTTTTTGAGGAACTGCGAAACTGTTTTCCAAAGTGGCTGCACTATTTTATATTCTTAGCACCAATATTAGTTTTATTTATAAGTTTATAAGCAATATAAGGATTCCAGTTTCTCCACATCCTTGCCAGCACTTGTCATTTTCCATTTTTTTAGTAGTAGCCATCCTAATAGATGTGAAGTGATATCTTATTGTGGTTTTGATTTGCATTTTCGGTAAAGATGTTGAATATCTTTTCGTGTGCTTATTGACCATTTGTATATTTTCTTTGGAGAAATTCTATTCAAGCCCTTTGCCCGTTTTTGAATTGGGTTATTTCTGTGTTGAGTTGTATGAGTTCTTTATATATTTTGGGTTTTAATCCTTTATTAGTATATGATTTACAAATATTTTCTCCCATTCTGTGAATTGTCTTTTCATTTTCTTCATGGTGTTCCTTTTATGCACATAAAGTTTTTAATTTTGATGAAGTTCAGTGTATCTATGTATTCTTTTGTTGCCTGTGCTTTTTGTGTCATATTAAATAAATTATTGCCAAATGAACTGTCTTGAATTCCCCCTATGTTTTCATCTAAGAGTTTTATAGTTCGGCTCTTAAGTTTCGGTCTTTGACCCATTCTGATGTAGTTTTTATATATGGTGTAAGGTTAGGGTCTGATTCATTCTTCGGCATGTGAATATCCAGTTTTCCCAGCACCAGTTATTGAAAATCCTGTCTTTTCTCCATTGAATGGTCTTGGCATCCTTCTCCAGAGTATTTTTAAGCAATTAAAACAGTCAGCACTTACATATTGCTTAGTTTGTGCAAGGAACTTGTTTAAGTACTTAATATTGACTCATTCAACCCTCAGAATAACCTTCAGAATTATCCCCATTTTACAAATGAAGAAAAAGTCACTGAGAGATTAAGGTCCCATTCTTCAAGAAGTGCCATTTGGATTGTAAAGTGCTTTCCTTGCTCTTCCCAGCCTAAGCAGAAAGGAAATGCAGGATTAACTCTGTGTGTCTGCACAGAACCTGACGATTTTCAGTACGTGTTGCCTTGAATGATTTGACTACAGCTCTGCCTGCGAACTAATCTTATGATATTGGACAATTCAGTTCATTTTTCCTTTCCTGTAAAATGGGAGTAATATGTAACCTATCCACATTATTTAGAAAGTGAAATTATGTGTCTGAGTGATGTGTTCTGGTAATATATTTTTAAAACAAGTGTTTCCAAATTGTTACTTCTTAAATATGGCCAGATACATTTTCGGGGTTATAAGCAGTGTCAGTTTTCTTGTGGTTGGTGGGTTAACTGTCAAGTTAAAGGAATATACATTTTCTCCCTCATTAAATAGTATGAATGATTTTTATCTTGAAATGGTGAATGTATCACTTTTGTAGATAATGTTTACCATGTATTCAATTTTCTTAAAGCAAGTCTTACTTTGTAGTTGGTTAGTTGTTATTGTTACCATCCAAGTAGGATGTCATTGTATATGTGGATGGTGAGTTCTAACGGTTATGATAGCATGTCCAAATAATACATTAATTATATATATATATAATATATTATTTACATATCATAGAATTACTAAGGACTGAGGTAACAGTGTTAGCAGGTGTAAAGTTAGGGCTTACAGACTCCTCAAGTCTGTTGCACATATTGGGTTACAAACCCTCCATATGCAGGTCTGTGAGCTAGGTAATAGAAAAAAAAAAAGGTTCTGGGAGCTGTAGGTATAGAAAAAGGAATGGGTGTTATTCAGATCTAGGAGCAACTAATCCTAGTGGCTTCTCTGGGAGTTCTGAGAAGCACTGTGGATCAGAGCTGTTGGTCTTTTATACTTAAGTCCACAACCCTGGACACCTGGGTGCCCATGCGCAACTTACATTAAGTAGTAACAAGGAACACCTGAGGATCTTTACAGCAAATGCTCAGCAAGGTTCTGAACATCGGAGGGGCCCTGACATTTTCCTGTTTTTCCCAACAGCAGGCATAATAGGCTGTAAGAACCAGGCAGGTGGTGTTGGTGAATGAAG